AACCGCATTGTATTCACTTTTTATTTCATTCTTAAAGGAAGAACAAATTATACTACTGAATAACTTGAGTAGTTAGCAACAGCTCACACTCATTTATAGATTACGAAAGTTCATACAACTGAATGAGTCCGAGTACACTGCCGATAAGCCTGGCCCCAAATGGGCGATACCACCATCCAGTTTTAGGATCGCTGTAGTCTGGTTGACTGGTGAAATCTACAGAAGAGCGTAAGTAGCAGTAGTATATTTCATTAATCCATGACAGATCTTCGCTTGGTAACTTTCTATAGAAGCCTTGCTGATATCACAGTTGGGCAGTCAAAAAACTACTCAGTTATGGGGAAGTGTCAATATGTCAACCGGACAATCTGTAAATCATTCGTAAACTGATCATACTAATCTCAAAACTCTGAAAGGTTCCGGATCAAATTCAGAGTGTAACCATTCAGTTAAGTGACTAGTCAGGAGAGTATGAGATAGTTGACTACAGTCGGTGGGTAAACCTATGGAGATAACGAATTCCCTTCAAGTTTTCGGGTTTACTGGTGAATCGCAGAGGAAAGGAAATCTATGTAGAGTGTATCCTGTCGGTATTGTCTTAGAAACACTTCACTATCAAGTAGCCAGCGTGGGCTTTAAAGGCCACCCTAACAGCTGACAAAATAACCTATCAGGTTGCAGTATTTTGACTGTGAAGACCATTTTTCATAGAATGTAGAGACGTGATTGGTTGTTTCATCAGTTGCTAGGGTTGGCCTTTAAAGTCATTCTAAGCTTTTATGCTGAAACAAGCCTTTCATTCATAATTGTCATTCTACATTCAAGTTGTCTGGCACTTACGTCCATCATTAATAAACAAATATTTTTCTGAGGGAGTTGTGAATTTTGTGTGTATTTGTTTGTGTCATCATAAGTTTAACAGAATGTGTTTAAATGAGACACATTATCCTCTCCACTTGCTTACTTCACTCCCAAAAGGCAAAATAACAATTTTTTATATCGATGATTGAATTCGGTTAGATGGTGGAAAAAGTGAAATTATACACTGAGTTCAGCTAATTAGCCCAAGGCTGAATTAAGTGAGATAAGCTCAAACTCTGGTGGTTATTATGTATCAAGCCTTTCAGATAGGAAATTTACAACTGGGTCATGTCTCACACAGCCAGACAATAAGCATTAATGTAATACACACAAATACACACTAAAACAAGGAAGTATGTAGGTTAGTTCTATATACCGATGACTCATCCCCAAATCTAGTGGTAAAAGATGACTGGATAGTAAAATTTGGATGTTATAGGCTGGTGAATGTTGCACAGTATATTCGATACATGTTGAAAATAAACTAATCCATTCATTAAGCCATAATCTGTACTAATAGGCTCATTTTGACAAGAAGAGCATTCAACAATTGTCTTACATCGCACGATAACGATTAATCGTAGGTAACAGTGGTATAGGCGATGTGCATTTCGTTGTATTCATCTTGGTAGTTAACAGTGGAATCCAGGACTCATCAGCTGGATGTTACCTCCACCCCACTGAGTGTTGTTCCAACTGAGACTCCAACCCAGTATCCACCAGGTCATTGGGGTATGAGATCCATCTCTTGTGAATCTTGACTTACTTTCTATGCTTGCTTGAATCTCAGTAAACGTCGACATGCTAATGAAGAAATTTGTACTAGGTGATGATTGAAGGTGAGATGAAAATCCGCCCGCTATTCAGATTTTCATCTCACCTTCAATCATCACCCAGTACAAACACTAGTCTGCCAAACTACGGCTATCTCAGACAGTCAAATGATAATGAAGAGATTAACGCAGAATACATTGCTTCAAAGTATAGAGTAGTAATATGCAGGCTTACAGTGATCACACCTTGTATTTTACAACCACTGAAAACGCAAAAACATACAACGTAACAAAGGTATAAAAGTTAACTGTCGGAAGTTGTTTATCCCCGAACCCTTCAAATAGTTTAGGTGTGGATGGCACGTCAAGTTTCACATTTGCGAAATGTGCTGATACTTGATACAATCCATAAGCTAACATATTTAATAGATCGTTCTCAGAAAACATCTTACCAGCTGCCTGGAAAGATATTACGGTAGTCTCCGTACCTAAGTGGGTGATTCCAAGCGCATGTTTGGAATTCCGTTCGACTGTAGTTACTCCTGCGTTCATGAAAATAACAGAGAAGTTAATAATATCTGTGCTTGAACCCTCATTGAAGGCTTTCAGAGATCCGAATCAATTTCCGTACAATATTGCTTATAGTCTTGATAGAAATTGAAATATATCAGGTGTGTTTATTTGGAGTATAATTCGGCGTTTGATTCTGTCCCAAGACACTTCTGCTGCGCAAGCTGGCTGGGACAAGTACTGATTCCAAGATAAACAGCTGGCTGTATTTCGATTTCTCTAAAAGCAAACAATACACTGTTTACAGAGGGAAACGCTCTACCTCATTGCTTACTATTATCGGTGTTCTCCAAGCAGCCGTCCTTTACCCCGGTCTTTTCTCCTTCCTTCTGCATGAAATACCATCTTCAACTAGTATCAATTTCATCAAATATGCTGACGATCTGATACTTTCCATACCTGTCTCCTTTTCTACAGATTGTTCCCAACTGAATGACTTCCTATTTACTACCAGACGATTATTAATATTATTATTATTAGTCCCTTGGGTTCCTAATAGAACATACCACTTCAGTAGCACGTCACCATTCCACTCTCTTCTCTGAAATCGTTTGAACCTGGCTCCACGACAGCCCACTACCTCTCATTTCCTCCTCGCACCATCTCCTCCATGTCACCCTCACCTCAAAAGCCCAACTCATCGCTTCCCATAGGGGTACCACTCGACGACCTGGCCTGACGCCTGATGTCCCCAGTCGGCCTTCTCACTGTACGCCCAATCCATCTCCACTTCCTTCCAATGCATATTTGTTCAGCGATAGCTACTTGGTTAGTTCGTTGTCAGCCAGCCGGAGTTCCTTGTTGTTTATTCTTTCTGGCAATCCATCTTATCTTCACTAGCGAGCGTCAGCAGTTGTTGATGAATGTCTGTAGTTTATTGGAAATCCCTTTGGTAACGCACCGGCAAGTCTCTCAACCATACAGAAGAACTGATTTGACGTTGGTGTTGAAAATCTAGATCTTGTTCCGCATGCTGAGTGCAGAAGATCTCCACACTGGTTCAAGGCTAATGAACGCCTGTCTTGCTTTTCCGATCCTGGCTGGCTTTGTCATCCTCGTCTGTGCCGCCACCGCCTGTAGTTGAAACAGTGCTTCCTAGATAGGTGAGGGAGGTTACTTCCTCTAGGTTTCTCCCGTTGATGCTGATTGGTGCTTGTTATTGATGCTGTTGTTGATTGGGTATCTTCATCACCTCTGTCTTCTCTATATTCACTCGAAGTCCCGTTTGCCCTGCCCTGTCCTGCCCTGCCTCTTCTGCCGACTTGTTAGTTTTTCCCTGTAGATCTTCCAGTCTGTGCGACATCAGACACAAGTCATCGTTGGCGAAATCCAGATCTTCTAGGTTCTTTTCCGCGGTCCAGACTAATAAACGATAGTCCTCTGTAAATATTCTTATGCTTAATTCTTCAAAATGTCAGACTATAAATTTTAGTTTCTCACGCAAACATAGTCTGCGTAAACTGCTTGGTTCTCATGATCCCTGTCCTATTGATGGTTGTGTATTGGAGAGTGTTACAAGTGTGATTTATCTCGTTGTGTTTTTCTCAGGACCTTTTCTCGTCCTCACATACCTTACCAATTTCCAAAAGAATTTTCCGCCTAACCTTCTATATTAGGAAGCTGAGGGTATCTCATATAACTCAGCCTCTTCTCTTGTGTTTTATAAACTTCTGCATCTTGCCTGTTCTCCTCTGTTGTTGCCCTTCATTCTCTTCTGGTTTGTTAAATAAAGACTATGCTGTATTGCGTAGGACTTTGAAAACTTTCAACAGAACTAGTGGTGTATCTCTCTAAACCTCCTAGTTAAAACAATTGTCGGCAAACATATTAACTCATGTACACAACTGGTAGGAGTTATTTTATCAGATGACCAGTTTCCTCTTCATTCAAAGCTCTCAATATGTCGGTCATCTAGAAAGGAAAGGAGGAAGTACATAGGATTTTATGCACATATTACAAAGTATAAAAACTTTACGATATCTTATCTAGCTCGTCTCGTGTGCTATGAAGAAAGTATTACAAATGAACTAACAAAGTCAAATTCTGTTTTTGAAAGAAAACTAATTAGATGATACTCAGCTTGCTGTTATTGAAGTATTATGAATCTAATTGCTAGTATGACTGTCAATCTGGATTAACTGTACATTTTCATAGATGGAGTAAATATTCTTAGTTTATGATGCATACTTATACAGTGTTTCTGTCCAACTATTGCTACAGGGTATAATGAAAACTCTGTAGAGTATTCCTGAAATATCTTTCAGAATGAATTTATTTTTAAGATTGATGGGGATTTTTAATTTAGAGGTAGTATTCATCACGGACTGACATCAATTAAGGAATCATTGAAAATATGGGAGCACTGGACAGCTGTTTCGTCCTAGTATGGGACTCCTCAGCAGTATGCACCCATGACGGAGGCGGATGCAAACTTAAGACCTTGGGTGACAGCCGTGCTATATCATGAATTGACAGAAATTGGAAACTGTGAACCACTGAAAACCGACCCAGTAACTGGATGGTTAACACGTTCGCTATGAAATCTGAAAGTCCTAAGTTCGATCCGTAACCGAGTCGTAGGTGCGTACTGCTATGAGAAGCCGCATACTAGAAAGAAACAGCTACGAGTGCTGCCAGGTTTTTAGTGGTTTTCCAACTAACATCAGTTAGTGATGAATACCCCCTTGAAAATAAAATCGCCATAAACCCCAAAACACGATAGTAATAATAATAATAATAATAATAATAATAATAATAATAATAATAATAATAACAGAGACGAAGACGGGAACTCACCATCATTTTCTGCTACTTCCTGAGACCTGATACTATTGTCATCATCATCCATATTATTGGTATCATTATTATCATTATGGATTTGATGTGTCAACTGACTTGTCTTCAAGTTGTACAATTCCTTTGGTACTGGTAAAGTATATTGCACTAGTGAATGTGCTGTTGATAATCCTTTTAGAATGCAGATACTTAACTGATCAATTGGCAGTGTTAACAATTCCGGATAGGCGACAAATTCGTGTAAATGCTGAAAATACATAAAGATAATTTACTGAATGAAATCTACTCCTTGTAAACGATTCTTCATGATAGCAGATAAACTGGTACACTTGTTTCACTTGGTTATAACTTTCACCATCTTAACAACGATTGTAATAACCAATTAGATTCTTGATTTTAAGAAAGCTAATTGGTTATTTCAGTAGTTGTTAAAGTGGCTCTTCAACACAGTCTTCCATTTGAATACCTAATGCACTTTCTTATAATTCATTCCCACCCCCTCCCCCTACACACTCCACATCTATGAGTTACTGACTAAACTAAACACAAATTGATATATCAGTAGTTACTTCAACCAGATTTCAATTAGATTTCCAGGTAATACGTCTATACAGATGAATGACATGCCAAGAACACACAATACATTACAGAAATACGACGCAATCATTCAGGGCTACAAAATGATGATGGACACGCTTTAACCTCAGCCAGCTATAACTTTACCAGTGAACAGTATGAAGAAGATGACAGTTTTTTTAGAATTCTCTGAGCTCTGACATTTGTTCTTCCATCTTTAATCATCAAGTTAGGTGACTTCATCAGAGTTCATTTTTTATTATTTGTCCTTTGGGTTCTTAGTGGAATATAGTGGGCTTCAGTAGCACGTCGCCATTTCACTCTATTCTCTGCAATCTTTTGAATCTAGCTCCACGACTGCCCATTAAGCTTTCATTTCTTACACACACCATCTCCTCTATGTCACCCTCGCCCCAGACGCTAAACTCGTCATTTCCCATTCGGCTTCTACTCGATGGCCCAGTCTGGCCTGGAGGGTGATGCCTCCAAATGGTCTTCTCAGGGTAAGTCCAATCCAATCCAATCCATCTCCACTTTCCCCTTCTGCATATTTGTTGGGTGATAGCTTCTTAGTTGGTTCGTTGTCAGTCCATAGTGAGTTCCTTGTTGCTTACTCTTATTATTCTCCCCATCTGATCTTCAGTGTCAATATCGAGTGAGCGTAGGCGGCGGCAGCTGTTCATGATGAATTTATGTAGTTTGTTGGAAATGATTTTTGTAAAGCGCCAAGTCTTTCAACCATCACATAGAAGCACTGACTTGACATAGGTGTTGAAAATCCGGATCTTGTTCATGCATTATGCTAAGTGTAGTGCCGTAGATCTCCACACTGATTATTTCCGATTAATGAAGGAAGGCCTCTCTTGCTATCTTTCCGATCCTGGCTTTGACGTCCGCATCTGTGCCACCTGTAGTTGAGACGACGCTGCCTAGGTGGTAGGTGAAAGGCAACTTGCTTTAGATTTCTACCATTGATGGTTATTGATGCTTGCTGTTGTTGTTGGTGGTGGTGGTTGGGTATCTTTGTCAACTCTGTCTTCTCTGCGTTCACCTGATCACAGTTTACTTCATGTAAATGTCTTTAAAATAATCGATTTAAATGTATATTCAGTCAAATTTTACATCTTTCTCTATTTCGTTCGTTTTAAAGTGAGTTTAAAGACTTTGACTGCTTAACATAAAGCTATCTACTTCGACAGGACTACGATACTGAATAATAACACACAATATCAACAGAGAAATAACAAGAAACAATTCTTTGCATACTTCTGTTAATTCATAGTGAAAAGTATCCGTCTAGGATTAAACCTCATCCATATGAACAAAATCCATTCAATAACCTTGTGGACGTTCGTGAAGTAGGTAACAAGAGGCATCTAGTTTCTGAAGGTTAATGATGCTTACTACTACCTAGTTGCCAAAACCTTTTTAGGTAGAACAGAGTTCAAACCTATGATCCATCGGTTGAAAACAATATATCTAAACCAATGGGTCACAACTCCACAGAGGATATCAACACAATCTATCAGTAATGTGTAAAGTAGTATTTCCAACAATGTAGAATGAAAAATACAGCTATCGTTGGTATATGAAAACTTCAGATAATGGATTTTGTTGATGATAAATGTTATTACCTTGAGAAGTGAGAACAAAGAAAAAAGTTGCAGAAAACATCAACTTTTTATTGCATTTCTTCTCTTTTTTATGATCAAAACTACAAGCTAAAAAATACTGCACATATCAGTTTAACTGTTCCTGTGAAACAACTTACTTAGGGTATAACGATTCAGGCAAGTGCTTCTCCAGATATGAGAGCGTTTACCGATTTGGTTTCGAAAAGACGAAGTGAAACTGATGAAAAATTTCATCTTATCACGCCTAGTAGATACAAGGCATCCTATATAGATGCTAATAAACCTTTCAATGTCATACAGAACAATACCACATGTAGCTCGCCAACGCTTGCTCAATATAGTTGAAGCTGTCTCAATAAGATTGATCAAACCTGAACCTGTGCATTCATTTCAAACACACTGTGACTTACACTAATATTAACTACACCTAATGTCAAAAGAATTTTACTAATAAGGTAACCTTTCTAAAATACTTAGTAATATCTATGAGTTCCCGTTGACTATTGCATTGAACTGAACTGAATGGTTTCCGATGGCATATGGACTCCATGAACACATGTCTCAATATTACTACAAATATTATTTTGGGGTGATTTGTGTGGTGATGGCCAGCAGAAGGAATTAAGACTCATCAGGTTGATGTACCTGCATCCAAATGATTGATGGTGTTCCCAGGGGGTTCGAATCCAGAACCCTACGCTGCTTTAAATTATAGAACAATATCTACAAACAAGGCTAGTGACCCGAAAAAACCCACCTCTTGTATCAGTTATTGTCACCTACTGGTATCGCCATTCCACGGAAACTCGAAACCAGCACCTCTCACTGCTTCAAATGCCAAAGCATTGCACAAAAGGTGGTGCTAGTGCCCCATCAGCCTAGTGAATAATCCTATGACATTTGAATCGATAGGCGCTTGGATCAAGTTTCAGTAGGAACAAGGTCACTCACCGGTGTGCGCGTACATCCAGCTGTCGAGTCCCGGATGGGATGAAATATGCGTTCTAGATTCCACTGCCAGTGGAGAAAATAACTGCTGATCAGTTATTTTATTTTCCGATATCAGTTTGACCCTGGAGGGGGTGACATTTTTAGGTTGATTTTCGTAGGGGATCATTAGTCAGTTTTACCATCATACTAAATCAGTTAACTGATCGACAAGTGAACAACAATATCCACTGCATTCGGTCATCGCGACACGAAAAGAGCAAGTGAAACAAACAGTAAAAAATAATAATGGTGAGTTAAAAGAACTTTTCCACTGATAGCTTGTCTCTATTATCCAAGACAGCCACTATCTACTTTTAGTAAGATCTCTTATTGTCTACTTCCACAGCCTGTCAGTTACATATGTAGGTGTGTATAAAAACGTCCACAAAGTTATCCCTAAATGTAAACCAGAAGTTTCTTTGTGTGGGCTGAGTTGCTATGGTGGTTATCTGTAACTTTTCTTTCCGTTGATCTAATCTATAAGTAGTATATCAATCGCTTGTCTAGTGTGAAGGTAACATCGTCAAAAATATTTTTAAAGAGTTTCAGAGTATTTTATAACCTTACCACCAATCAGAAAAACTGATGCTGGGTGATGCATGAAGGTGAAATGAAAACTTGGATCGCGGCAGGATTCGAACCAGAGACCACCGGGTTTCCAGCTCTGTGTCCTACTAACTAACCTACGACACCCATGTCTTCCCTCCTCTAATTCGAGTAGATTTAGATTGCATTAAGAAGTCCCGACTAGGCAGTCAGTGTGAGCGCGATCAAGCGAAAGTAACGGATCACGAATTCACATGCCACTCGGGCAAAACCCTTGGTGATTGAAATGAAATTGGGATCTGTTCAGCGGTCGGGTCTCGTACCTCAGGTGATAGAGCACCGAATTAAAAACCCAGTGGTCACTGGTCCGAATCCTGTCGCTCCCTAAATATTCATTTCAACTTCAATCATCACTGAGTACCAGTAATACAAGTCTGCCAAGCCACGGCTGTCGCAGATAATCAAGTTGATGATAAGAAAAAAAGTTTTTTTCTTCTGTTGTTAAGTGATATTATTGCGTCAGTGACAATTTTGTTTCCTAAAATGTTAGAGATGGATATTTATCTATTGGTTTCATCAAACAATTAGGGGTGAATACAGAAGTTAATAGTGTTTATTAACTATATTAATGATGGATAGTGGTTAGCAGTGGAATCCGGAACTCATGTGTCGTCCTATTTAAGGCTCGTCAGCTGGATATACTCGCCTTGTGGTGAGCGGTATTGTGCCCGCGAAGACTCAAGCCGAGGACCGATCACTTCAAACAACAGAACGCTATCCACTAGGCCACTGAGTCATGGTAGTCACTTCTTGTGTGACGGGTATAGAGTGGTCAGTTCTGGGTTAGAGTCCTACTGGGGACAACATCGCTGACTGGAAAGCAGGCACATCCGGCTGAAGAGAGGGTGTTCTGGATTCCACTGCAAGTCACTATGCATCATTACTACTAAATTCTTTCTTTGGTTGATATTTTTAATAATAATTTAAACAAAACATTTATTAGCATTTATCAGTGAAAACCTAAGCTCCCTCTTTATTGCTTAGTCTTTCAGTCTATTTGACACTGAAAAGATACAGGTGGATGATTCTGAATGAGTCTACATCTTATGCTGAAGTCTCATGAGACCAATCACCCTAATTACTAATTAGTAATAATATCAGAACAATCTATTCATGAAAATGACCTGACAGGAAAACTAAATATTTAGAAAGTGACATGATGTGATGGCATACATTCAATATTCTATAAAAACTAATATCGTTGACAGATTTAGCAAAACTATCATTGCACTAAGGTGAACAAGGAAGAATATACGTCTACAGATTTTGAACTACTGACACAGATGCAAACACATTCAGTTGCCGAGCCCGAGATAAGATGAAACACTAATTCCTTGATTTTACCGTCAGTCATAACTAAACAACTATCAATCTGGTCTTGTTTAAAGTCAATTATAGACGCAAAGTATAAGTAAATGAACAGCAAATTATAATAAAGAAA